GTAAAAGAGCCTTGATTTATTACGAAAGGTGGGAGGTGCCTCAATAAATTTTATTGAAATTGCGGCAAGTTTTGGGTGATAATTGGATCAGGGGTTTTTTAAACAGTTAAAAAAAATTTTTTTTTATCTTTTCATCAACTTTTGGCACAAAAAAATCAAAAATCCTGCCAAAAGTATGCAAAGTAACCTGCTCCTGAAAAGGAAAAAAGGAGTTACTCATCTAACCTCTAAAAAGTATTACTCATCCTTTTCGATTTCTTGTGAAAAAACAGTCTAATCGACAAAAACAAAAGTTCTAATCAGTCCTCGACATCTCAAACCTTGGCTCTCTGATGGCATTGACATAATTTTGAGGAGAAGAGAAAATGACAAGTTTTAAAGTGGAAAAAATGAGGAAGGAGTTGAAAAACACGAGATCACAGAGTGCCAACTGTGTGGGATATGATATTTGAAGAAAGCCACAACTCCCATTTTTTGTTTTGGATAATTGAAAAACAAAAACTGAAGGATTTCTGAAGGTCGTTTTGAAAACAAAATCCAGTAAAAAAGTTCAAAAACCCTGGAGATTGAACCCGTTGCTCCCAAAAAATCGCAGCATCCCTATTACTCGTCATGATCATTTAAAACAATTCGAAAAATCGTAAAAAAACAAAGACAGTCAAATTTGATAGTAAAATTAGAACGAAACAAAAAACGATCAAATTGACTGCTGACTCAAAAAATAAACACATAATAGTCGGTAAACAAAAGCAATTACATTCGTTATCGAGAGGTTTTATTAGTTTTTTAGGGCAAATAATTAACTGTAGCAGCGATATCAGAAGTTTTAGACCTATTTTCCCGGACCTTGACTGAAATTTAGATAGAAGTTTGTTCATGAAATCAAATACCTCACGGTGTTTTGTTAAAAAATAAGTTTTTTTTACGAAAAAAACGCCTCCAGTAATTTGGTCGTAACAATTCTCCCCCACAAAAATTATATTCCTCAAATCTCACGCATTTCCCTCCAAGGAACAGTAAAATAAAATTTATAACTTCCCGACCACTCAGACAATGGTCTCCGGCCTCGACCGGATATATACCATAAAAAATAATATTCTCAAAGATCCCGGTTCAAATTACAAAGGAAGGGTTTGCAAAACGTCATTTGCTTTTGCAACTTTCCAACTCAAGTACGTATTTGGCCAAAAATTTTGACAAATACATAAATACTTGGCTCATTTCTGCAAAAGAGCCGCTTCTGTAAAGTTCAGGAAATCTTTTTTTTCTTGCGTAAAGTCTCGCAATTTATAAACTTCCTCTGTAAAAAATAAAACGATTATCGTTACAAATAACTCCCACCCTACATAACATGATCAAAAGGTAATCAAACTCGCCCAATTTCCTCCCCTCGAAAGCACGCTAGAACACAGTCAAACAAAGTGGCATGCAAAGGGCGCGCGGAGAACTGGTTTTGCGGGAAATTCGGGGAGATATTAATATAGACGTTATATAGATCAGTCGCGCAAAAATAATTGAAAAGTGAAATTTCAGCGGAGAAGCGTAAAGGATTAAGAAAATTTACGCTCGGTCTAATTGCCGTAAAAGCAGGAGAGCAGTATGATCCTTTGGAGTTAAAAAAACAATATTCTACGTATAGTTCAATTCCTGAACTTGGTCGAGTAAGCCGAGATAATCAACGGTCTTTGCCATCGAGAGTTCGGAACGCAGTCAGGAAACAGGCTCGGCCAGTTTCTCAAAAATTTCGGATTACGACCGTAATCATCCTGGTATGAGAATTTATTTTCTCCGCCTTCCGCAACGACGATAAAAATCTTAGGCCAAATTTCGAACAAAGCATCAAAAAGCGGCTGAACGGCCACAAAAAATGCGGCCATATGCGGAGACAAAATTTATGGAGTCCCATGGGCCAAAAGTTTTTTTTACAATACGCAAACTTGTTTTTATAAACATATTTGCTTCCGAGGAGCGGCATGAGTGTCACAGATTACATTCAATTTATAATGTGATCTTACGAGGTTATGGAACGAGTTGATAAAAAAATTTTAATTTTTTTTAGTATAAAAATATCAGATTACGGTAAATTATAAGGTTAATCGGATTCAGAAAATCAGAAAAAAAACCCCCAAAAAATATCATAATTTCGATACTCTGAACGCAAGAGTTTTTTCTCGCGCAGTGCAGACTCCACCTTGGAGGCGAAATTCATAAACGCACGCTTTTCTTCCCCCTCATTGAATTCGGGGTGTGATATAAGCTAAATTTAGGAGTTTGCAAATGGACGAATCTAATATGTCCAGTGGAAATTCATCCGCATGTAATGTTAGATGACCCGTAAGGGAAAGGGGAAATTTGAATTTTTTTTTAGAATTTCTTGGAAAAATAAAAAAAAAAGTTGTTTTCGTTTTTGGCAATGAAAAATTGATCAAAAAGAATACATAAAATATTTCAGTTGTTTTGAAAATTTAGACGAAAATCCTGAATAGAAAAATCAAAATCCCGTTCCCCGTCCTCTCCACTAATTCGGCCTTGGGAACTCTTCTGTTGCCCTCCGAATTTTGGCCAGAGATTGCGCACTTTCGGCCAGTCCTAATAAAAAAGGAGCGGAAATTGAGTGGAATGAAAAGTGCACGGATCGGCCAACTCAAGAGTCCAATAATTGCCCAAAATATGAATATGTGAATAATTAGATTTTTAATTTGAATGTTTGGAAATTTCAATTTAAAAAAAAAAAATACGAAAGTTTTTTTTCGTTTACTTAAAAATTTAAATTTGAAAATAAAATATTTTTTAAATAAGAAATAATAATCCTTTTATAACAAAAAATGTAATTATACGATTTCCTACCCATCGCAAAAAAAGTATTACAAAAGAAAACCTAACGCGCGTCATCGCACAAAAGGCTGAAGTATATAATGTCCGCATAATTACTGTCCGATGAGCTCAAAGTGTCACATAAAGGTTACCAAAAAAAAAAAAAAAAAATTGGTTGCAAAATTATTCTTAGAGTATAGCGAAACCAAGGACAGAAAGCTGCAAGTTGGTAAATTGCCGTTTTCTATTTTTGATGAATTCAAGAAATATAAAAAAAACTTCAAAAATCTCCCCAAAAAAATCGAAATTTAAATACCTCCTCGCCTTTTTTAGATTTAAGTTTTTCCTCTCGTCGACATGCGGATTAGCCTCGATCTCCCCCACTTTTTTGTTTGCTTGGGTGCGCAAAGGGATAAAAAAATATTTTTGAAGGGCACACGGAGAAGATTGACCGCCGATCAATTTCATAAAAAGAAAAGAAACGGAGGCCAGTCGAGAGTGGAGTACAATAGACGTGGTAATAAGGTAAAAAAAATTAAGTTTAAACATACTAGGACGCCAAATAAAAGACGACAAAAACCGAAGATAACTCTGGTCAGTTCTTCCAAACAGAGCATAAAAGAAACGTCCACAAATTAAGGTCAAAATATTCTAACAAGGAAAGTACTTCTATGGGGTGTGGAGTTACAGGTCGAGATATATATCAAAAAATTCGCAAAAATTTTCTGATTCAGAATATATAAAAATTAGCTGCCTAATTTTGGTCTGATGACATGTTTTTGTCCTCAGAAGTTTTCTCGCGACACCATGCAAGTCTCTTTTTGACCGTGTTTTTACCAATAAAAAATTTTTGTTTTGTGCTAAAATAAATTCTGAGGCCTTGACAAGCCTTAAAATATCAAATTAGATTACAACTACACCTTAGAAGTACTTCCAATGTAAAAAATGGGTTCTAGTGTGGCAAAAGGAATCGAACCCGTTTCCTTCGGATTCCCAATCTAGCGCTCTAACCACTCGGCCACAACGCTCTCTTCCGAAGGAAGAGACCGAGCGCGCTTTTGTTGCCGCAGATTTTTTTCCTCGAGAAATACATTTATTGATAAAACTCGTTGATAGACCAAAATTAGGCAGCTAATTTTTATATATTCTGAATCAGAAAATTTTTGCGAATTTTTTGATATATATCTCGACCTGTAACTCCACACCCCATAGAAGTACTTTCCCTGTAAGAATTGTAAGACGCTACCCTTTGGAACACACTACCCTTTGGAATACTGTACCCTTTCGAATACTCTACCCTTTGGAATGCTGTACCCTTTGGAATAGAGTACCCTTTGGAATAAGCTACCCATTGGAATACTGTACCCTTTGGAAAAAAGTACCCTTTGGAATAAAGTACAATTTGGAATAGAGTACCCTTTGGAATAAAGTACCCTTTGGAATAAACTACCCATTGGAATACTGTACCCTTTGGAATACTGTACCCTTTGGAATGCTGTACCCTTTGGAATAGAGTACCCTTTGGAATACACTACCCTTTGGAAAACTGTACCTTTTGGAATACTGTACCATTTAAAATACTGTACCTTTTGGAATAAAGTACCCTTTGGAATAAAGTACCCTTTGGAATAAACTACCCATTGGAACAGAGTACCCTTTGGAAAAAAGTACCCTTTGGAATAAAGTACCCTTTGGAATACTGTACCCTTTAGAATAAAGTACCCCTTGGATTAGAATACCCTTTGGAAAAAAGTACCCTTTGGAATACTACGGAAAGTTCCGTAAAAAAATATGCAACCGGGGACATTTGTACTGTAGAAATTAATATTTGTAAGCAAAAAATATTAATTAATTTTTTGTGCTGAATTTTGAACAAAAAACAAGTTGAAAACGATATGTAAAATGAGGGAAGGCTCAGATTTTAGTTCAATACATCTCCGAAAACTCTTGTGTAAACAGAATTCTGAAAAAAAAAGTTTTGTTATACAAATATCTGACAAACCAAAAAAATATTTGGGTCACATTTCAAAGAAAATAAATATTTGAAAAACGCCAAAAAATGTAAAAAAAATAGTTATAAAAATATTATGTTCGTTTCCGCATAATTAAACACTATAATACCCTAGTAAAATTATCAAAAAACAGAAAAAAAGTGAGACATTCTCGATTCAGTAAATTTATTTTTTTCAACTAAAATGCAGCATAAACAACAACAGCATTACTGACAACAAAGCAGTTTGATCCGATCTCCACCCAAGACTCTTCTCCTTCTCCTCGTACTCCTGGGCCTTCTGCAGGACCAAGTTCTGGAAGGTGACGTTCTTTATGTAGGTGGGATCCAAGGGTTTATCACAGATATCCATCTCGTAGCAAATCGTGTCCTCATTCACATATTTATCCAATGCTCCTTTGCCCTCCTCTTGAAGGAGAGTGATCAGGGCCCGGCCTTCTTTGGCTCCATAATCACAAATCTTGCCGGCATTCGTGATATCCATTTGCAAAATGTCCAAGGCAGCGGCAAATTGATGGCAATAGCTCTAAAAATGGATGAGATGCCTTCCAACTCAACGTCAACCCTACCCGAATCGCACACATGACCATTCCAGTGGCGCCAGCACCCCGTTGAATGACGTCATCCTTGGCAAACCTGATCGAAACCCGGCAAACACCGCATTTGTCGATGTTAGTTATGTTGTGTTTGAGCCTTTCGAAAGTCTCCAGTGCAAACTTGAACATGTTCTGGCCATCGTGAGCCAGGTCCTCCAAGTGGGCAAATTTGATCAGTCCCATAACGCTAATTTTGAATGGCTCCTAAAAAATAATCGGGGATTGGAAGGTGAGGCCTAAAAACATACCACGGAACCAATAATCAGTGCAAGAATCAGTAGAAATTTCAGCATGTTGCCGCGATGGTAGTCCAACCGCACTCAAGAACGGCTGGAAAGTACAATAGGCCGCCGAAAGTTCTTTCCAAAGATTTGTCAATTTTTCGGGTTTTCTTGGGAAAATTTGCTGTCGTTAAACTTTTCCCATCAAGACGTCTTCATGATTTCTTTTTTCGGGCTTTGAAAATTCATAGGATGGATGACGTCATTTCCCCAAAAAATGATTCAAAACGTCTCATTTCAATAATTTGTTAGTGGCCTTGCGGTCGTCGCCGAATGTCTGCGCCTTTGCTCAACTCTATCATCAAGACCAATGGCCAGGATTGTCTTGTCCGCTTCCGCTACGACGTCTGGACTCATCTTTTCGACTTTGATGAGGACTTGAAGATCATATACACAGATTGTATGAATGTTGAGGCAAGTTTCGTAGGAAGCTGGATCTTTACATGGCCATGCATGGAGGTGTTCAGGACGGTGGGGTCTTTGGTTTCCTCGAAATTTAATATGGAACTATTATATATACTTTAAGGTTGGAGACCAAGTCATCTACTTTCTCGAACCTTTCGAACAGACCAGGATAACTTCAAATGCCCAGCTGGAGTCTCTGTTGCCAAGCTCCGGAACTGTCACTCTGATCCTGAGGAAATGGCCGAATCCCGTGAACGTCGTCACAAAAGACGAGATTGACAAGGCAGAAAAGGCGCTGGTAAGCTTATTTTTGATTAAATTTTCGTTTGTATAACAAAATTGACTGGGAAAAGTGTTTTTATCCGGCTCCCATAATTTGGACGTCGTATCTACCCATTTTTTAAATATTTTTTTTTTTCACTATCGAATTACAACTCCTGCCCCTTTCAGAAGCCACCGAAGCGCAAGAACGCTGAAGACTTGTACCCGGACAAAATCAATCTTGGCAAATCCACTATGGGAGCACATCGAGCTTGAAATTGTCCAATACCGCTGAATAAAATTTTCAAAATACAAAAAAACTCGATAATTTATTCCTACTGGGACAATTCTACAAATCGATTTTTTGGTCGAATGGCTTTGTCGAAACTCCGCCGAATCCACTAGGAACATCCTTGGCTCAAAACGGAAAAAAAAATTTATTCACTTTCGTTGTCAACAACCTTATGAATACAGACACTGATTGCGGACGTCACTAATAGGATTATCCCGGCAATAAAAGCTGCATGCACCGAGTATTGAGGCTTTTCGTCGGTGAAATGCTTAACTTCGTCAACATCAAGCGTGGAATTGCTTATTCTTTCATATCGGTTCTTGATGTCTTTTGCAATATCTTCTGAAAGTTAAAAAACGCTCAAATTTCATCAAAAATCCCGAGAAAACAAAGATAAAATGATAAAACTCGACGATTTTTGCCTGTGTACGCTAACTAGAGTGATGTATTCACATTTTTAAGTTACGATCAATTTTTTCATTTCAAAAAATGATTCAAATGTCGAAACATTTATTCCCCGCCACAAATAAAAGGCTTCCGAACGGGAGGGGGGAACGTGCAGGGATGGCCGAGTGGTCTAAGGCGCTAGACTCAAGCAAAAGGCTTCATTGCAGTGCAATGGCGAGCGTTCTAGTATCGTTATCGATGCGTGGGTTCGAATCCCACTTCCTGCAGAAATTTTTTTGATTTTTTGGAATTTAAATACCCAAAATTTGTTTACGCAAAGCATTCTTTTGCTCCTTTTTATAAGATTGAAGTCGCGGGTTCGACTCTCAGTAGGCTAAACTTTCGTTTTTATATTATTCAATGCCAAATAAACTGATAAAAAACCCTAACAACCCCAAAACACGAAAGAACAGTCGTAGAAATCAGTCATAAAACTGTGGTTCCTTACCTGGAAAATCATTCAAGCGGAAAATTATGGGCGCAGCCAATTCGATGACTCCCGAAATCACAGTGATAAATCCAATGGCCATAAAATCACAAAGGACGCAAGAACAGCAGCATCCAGCAATTGACCAAGCAAAAGATACTGTTGAAAAGGTCAATGAGGTTACCAGTAAGCATGCGACAATTACCAACGAAGCTTGAGGCCGCTGCAAAAAATGTTGTTAACGCGATTAAAAAGGGTCAGAATTTATTTAAGCCAGGATCACATGGAAGTAAGAAGAGCTGTGATCAACGTAGAATGACTCCCGCTCTCATGACAGCAAGGAAAAACTTACTGTAAGAGCCTCCTCACAAGCTTGCAAAAACTCTTGAGATGACGTCAAAATCTGCGTATTATTGTGACATTCGGCGAAGAACAGGCCTTGCCGAAAACCTTTGGAGACTCTCCAGTCCGGCAGGAGGGTTGCTGTTATTGTAAAGACCAACGAAATACCAAGTCCAACAATCAAAACTGACTTTAGCACCGCCGGATAGCACATTTGTAAGAGGAAATGAATTTAACGAGAAATGATCGTTTTGTTTAGCCAAAATAAAAATTTATGTCCTCAGAATTTCAAGTTCGAGTAAATTTTTGCAATTTCTCCCATTTTCCCCCATTTATCGCAAGTTTCCAATTCAAATTCCCGCGTAATTGGCATTTGCTCGCTTCTCTTGGCATTCTGTTTTTATACGTTGGCAAGGAGAATTCTCTCAAAAAATTGTTCATGGCTTGAAAGATCCCGTTGGTTTGCACTGTTTTTTCATCGTATATTTCTTCAGCAAGCACTGTAAATATTTTGGGAAGCCGAGTTTGGTTGCTTTCTGAGGAATTTCCATCAAAATCTTCGCAATTTCACTTTTTTTTCTTCGATAAAAGATGGCACATACCAATTCTGGAATGAATGTGGCCCTGGATCTGGAAATGGTAAGGTTTAGACGTTTTTTGTTGATTTTTAGAGGATATTTGAGTGTGTGAGGGCAGATAGCCATGTGCAAAATGGTTTTGGTCTTGGGAGCTGGGGTCTGAGGATCTAAAGGATTTTATACATTCTCTAGCGATGTTTCTGGAGTCTTCTTAAGTGCTTTGATGTAGGAAATTATAAATCTTGAATTCAAAATGTCTTCACTGATCAAGCCTAATTATATTTCGTCCCATATTATCCTTGATCTATTTCATCATAACGGTTTCTTCAATTCTCAATGAATCATTTGTTCACGAGCCCTTTTGGTTTCCCTGGACGTTCAATGCCCTTTATAGGACTGTTTTGATCCATGCACTTTTTAGAATAACGATTAAGGTTATTGGAATCAATTGTAAATCATGGATTATACATAAAATTATTTTTTAAGACCCGACGATTTGTTGATTGTGCAGTAGACTTGTTCGATCCTTACAAAAATTATAGTTAGTCTTATTTTTCAGCTGGAGAAAGAGATTCAAGCCAAAGAAGAAAGTCGTCGAACCCAAAATTTCGACGACTTGAGTGGCACGATTGGAAATGCTTCCGCCACTGGCTACACACCTAATCGAAATCACACATCCGACCCGATCGATGGGTCCACGGACTTTGATACACTCGATGAACCGGTTATTGTTACAATTGTAAGCTTTTATATCTAATTTTATATTGTTTTAAGTTTAGAACTGAAGTAATCGTCATTCTTTTTCAGCAACGAGATGCCAAACTGATTGCTGCCAAATTTATGCAGGTACTGGTTCCACCAAAGGACCAACATTGTCTTCGAGATTGGGATTTATGGGGCCCTCTCTTCGTCTGTGTCATTTTGTCGCTGTAAGTTGAATTTTTGTGTATCTTTATTCGTATTTATGCGGATTTTGAGTTAAAAATTTTTTTCTTGCTTTAGATTGCTCCAAGACACTGCCGCAGGCAAAGGGCCCGCTTTCACCGAGGCTTTTTCGTTGGTTTTCTTCGGGTCCGTGGTGGTTACTGCTAATATCAAGCTTCTAGGTGGTAAAATGTAAGTTAGAATAGGGTATTATTGAAATATAGGGTAAAAATTGAAAATTCCAAAGGGGAAATTCAAAGAGGTCTCCGATAAAATCAGTTGCGAAAAGTGAAAAAGAAAAAGAAGAGCCCTTCGAGTGTCTCCCATGTGGTCTAGTGGTTAGGATTCGTGGCTTTCACCCACGCGGCCCGGGTTCGATTCCCGGCATGGGAAGAAATTTTTTGTGTTTTGGAAATTGAAGTTTAGTCGTATTTTAGAGTGGGTATTATTCATTATTTTAGAATTTTAGCATAATAGCGAGTAGTTTTGATGTTTTAGCTACAATGGTTTAGAGGAATTTTTGTAATTGTTGAAAATTCTTGTTGATTTTTTCGAGTTTTCAGCTCTTTCTTCCAATCTTTGTGCGTAATCGGCTACTGTCTGCTCCCATCAGTATTCGCTTCCATTGCCTGCCATATGCTTCACATGGAATCAGCGAAAAGATTGAGCATGTTCTTGAGATTGTTGGCTTCGGCTTGTGGATTTGGATGGTCGACTTATGGTAAGAAAGGGGTGAATTACGTGATAAATAGGAGAATTAAGTCTGATCAGGGGCTGTAAATTAAATTTGAGTCCGAAATTTATGATTTTTAGGTGTTTTAAAAAAAGATTTAAATTTTCTTGAGGTTAAATGAATAGATGATTTAATTGAAATTTCGTTTAATTTCAGCGTCGACCGCTTTCCTGGCCTCCGCTCAGCCCGAACGCAGGAAAATATTGGCCATGTACCCGGTGATCCTGTTCTATTTCGTCGTCTCGTGGCTGGTCTTTTCCAACTCGTAAACCCCTTATATTTATTCGAATATAAATTATATCCACTAGTCGTAACTCCGTCTGGGTGCAGTCTTATCAATGTTATAAGCAATTATATTACCTTATGCAAAATAAATTGTGATATTTCGGGAGAACAGATCAGTGGTCATGGATAATATTGGAAGGGAGAGATAATGTGTTGGGTTGGGCGGAAAGTCGATGACGTTTTCAGGAAAAGGTAAAATTTTTAATAGAAATGGTATCGCCGAAACTTTGAACTCACAAGCCCCCACATCTTCCCAAAATAAAATTCCCAAAAATTCCATACCCTTGTTCAAATTTATTGTCGAAATTACTTCTTCCACCTATTTTCCCCTATTTCAAATTACATTTCTCACCGTAAACGGCGGGTTTCCACCCGAATTCTGTGTGTTTTTTCCGAAGATTGGCGGATAAATGCTTTGGAACAGGATTTTTTGCCTGGCCGTCGCATTCATCCTGGCGTCCGCTGATGATCCGGATGCCGAGGAGGAAGATGGCATCGATGTTCTGATCATTGTACTTGTGTCGTAAGTTTTTAAAATAAATACGAAGATTACATTTTTTGTATGATACAACATGCTATGGTTTAAAAAAAAGCAGTATTTCCAGAGTTTTCGGTGGTCTGGTATTTTTCGTCGCGGTCTCGGCGTCCATTCTCTTCTTTGTCACTTACCGAGCCCACAAAATTGAAGTGAGTTCAGCGAGAAAAGGGTCTCCCATGGAGTAGCTCCGTTCATACCGTCATAGTGATAGCTAAACAGTACCTTTGTTAAAAAGTTCCTTATTCTTGCCACAACTTATAACTTATAACATAACTGGTCAGAATTAGCCCAAATTTGGCGTGCATGCTCAATTCATTGTTGTTAATGCCCGGACAGTGGACTGTACCTTCTTTTTTACTTACCACCTTAAAAACGGCTGCAGCCTGCGATTTTGCACTTTATACGATGAAACCTGTCCGGAACTAAACTTATTGCTTCCGTGTAGAACTGAACCAGCCGTCATAGACTTAGTAGGTACCCTTAAAACTATAGAGCTACTATAGTAATTCAGTGCCAGCTAGGCTTTTGTTCCTAACTTTAGTTCCCAAGCTTGGTCGCAGTTCTCAGAGTACCTTTGTTGTGGCCAGAATAAGGAACTTTTTCCAGCAGATCTTACAAAAAAATTGAACGGGCTTTTTTCAGGAGCAGAAAGAACTTGGCTGGCTGCAGAACAAAAGTAAAGTGATGAAAAAATTGGTTCCCAGCGACTACTTTCGACCCCCCGGAAAGAACCAACCACCCAAACCCAACGATCCCACCAAGCCCTCAGGCAATCCGCCAGCCACGCCCACAGACACAAAGCCCAAACCAACAGAGACAAAGAAGGAGGAGAAAAATAAGGTGGAACCGGGCAAAGCCGCAGGCAAAAAATTCAAATCAGCACCGACGAAGAAGCCCGGAGACAAGGCTGCAAGCGTCCCTAAAGCAGCGGGCGGGAAGAAAGAGCCGAAAAAGTAATACGGAATTTTACTCGGAGTATTATCAATCAATATTTTGTATTAAAAAATATTTTTTTTTGAAATGGACCCAAAATTATTTCTAATCGTAAGAGAACATAAATTATTTGTTTAAAACTATTAGCTTAAGAAACTCTTGAGCTTTCTATTGATATGAATATCTTGCGTTTTACTGTTCACCTTTCTGTCAAAATATATTGCAAAATTTTGAACGATAAAGAATTTTCACAGTGGAAATTGTCAAAAAATGCTAGGCTTTCTTTCCATTGGGCGCCCGTTTTTCTTCTATTTTATTGACTTTCTTCCTCTTTTAGTCTAGGATTTGTGGTTTCTAAGCGCTTTCGAAGTTGAGTGAAGCCTCAGATTAGTTCATTTAGTTGGCCTTTTGCAACAGGTTGCGGGAAAAGTGGGCGGAAAGCCAACCAAATTTGCTTTTTAAAAAATTGAGTTCTTTGGAAAAAATTTAAACCAGAGATTTCGTGATGATTTTAAAAAAATTTTTTAGATCGCATTATGCAGAAATCAAAAATTGGGAAGTGTCAAAAAACGGCACAGAAAACAAAAAAAAAAACGTTGAAATGGCAATACGAAGTCTTTTATTTAAATAAATACACTTCCAACTAATTCGGGAGCTCAAATTTTCTTCGGCGGCAGTTTGGGAATGATCTCGGCAGCGGATTTAGCTCGGTCCTGAAAATATTTGTAAAAATTCCGAAATTTTTAAAAATTCGGTCAAAAAATGGGTAAAAAATTTCAACTACAATAAAAGCTCACAATCAAGTCATCGAGCCCACTTCTAATCCATTCATTAACCAATTTGGGATGATTGTAGAGCGATTCCAGGTTGGCTGCAGCAGCAACCAGTTGACGGGCGATCTCAGTCATCAAATCTTCGTATTCCTGGATCGCATCGATAACCAATTTCTCCCGCTGAAGCTGCTTGACCTTCTCGAGCATCTCTTCCATTATCTAGAAAGAAAAAACATCTGCCTAGCCACATATGCATTCCACTCAAAAAATATTGTACGCATACCTCTCTATTCGTCTCGGCGATCTTTGTGCCCACCTAAAAAGAAAAAAATCTGCGTAGCCCACATACATGTATCCCACTAAAAAAATATTGTAGACATACCTCTTTACCCTTATCGTGGATCTCTTCCCATGTCTAAAAAGAAAAAAATCTCCGTAGGTTACATATGTATTCCACTAAAAAAATATCGTAGACATACCTTTTCACCCGTCTTAAGCATCTCCATGACCGCCTAAAAATAAAAAAAAACTGCGTAGGCCACATGTATTCTACTAAAAAAATATTGTACATAACTACCAGTTTTTAGGCGCTATACGGCGATTTTGCGGTGAGAGACTATTGAAAATGAAGAGACCACCAAAGAAAAAAGTTTGAGCTGCATCTTCTCCATTTTTACGCGGAAATAATGATTATTTACAAAAAAATTAGCTAAACATTTCTAAAATCTAGGCCAATTCTCGCTTTTCAAATCAAAAACAAATCCCAATTTTTTACAACTTTTCGAAAGAACCGGCTAATTTGGAAAAAAAGCTCAAACAAAAGGTACTTCGTACAGTGTACTGGTCCGTTCGCAAAGTCGCAGGAGTGATTTTAGCGACATGCACTCTGCGAAAATGGATCAGAAAATTACCAAACCTTTTTTTTGTTTTCTTACGATTGGACCGTTTCCCTCACTTACGTTTTCTATTATGTCACCGTAAAGGTCAGCTGAACACAGGCCTGCAAAAAATTGAAATCAATAACCGATTTATATGTAATGCTAGAGGGGTGTAAAAAAGTAAAAACATACCGGCCACAAACAAAAAAAGAATGGCCAAAACCCTCATTCTTTCACCAAAGAAAGCGACCAAAGCCAAGGCGTCAACGGCAATCGAATGGATCGGACTCAATTTCAAACTGTAAACTCTGGAATGCAAATTTACTTTTTTACATTATGCAAATAGAGCATTTTTACATTATGCAAATAGTTCTTCGATCCAAAAACAGTTATTTTTAGGGTCATTTTGCGGTTGGATTGACCTCTGACCGATACTTTTATCTCTTAGATGGCTGAGAAAAGGGTGGTCTTGCCATTTTTTGCTGTACTGAGTTTTCAACGGGCCCAAGACAAGATGGCCGGCGGTTAAAACCAATCTAGAATAGAGGTGGCAATCGGGCCGGGCCGGGCCGATTTTTGCGGCCCGGCCCGCGGGCCGAAGTGACCAGGCCGGCCCAGGGCTTTTTCAAATTTGACCAGGCCCGGCCCGGCCCGGCCCGGCCCGGTGAAAGCCCAGGCCGGCCCGGCCCGGCCCGGTTTGGCCCGCTAATACAGAAAAGTTGGATAAAAGTCTTTGCACTTTCTACTGGAAGTTCCTATGCTTTCCAGAAGGTTTTTACGTGTGTCTGCGCGAAATTAAATAGTCTAGTCGGATGACTGGAACATCCGAACAGGTAGCTAAAACTTACAATTAGCCAAAAAGTTGGATTGTGTTAAATTTTTTAATCCTATAGGAAGTTAGCTATATAAAAGTATGGACGTTATAAGGTACATGGTTAACCAAAAACTGTTTAAACACTTTCATTTACATCAAGGAATCAAAATTACAGTGAAATTTTTAAGTTTATCATAAAAAAATTCGAAGATTTTTACCCGATCCTTGCATATTTGGGTGGGATTTTACATATACATAATAAGTTACATATACATATAAATACATAATTTTAAAAGGTAGTAGAACAGCGTATAAGTCAAAAAAGGTTTGATCTAATTTCCATCCATTCTATAAAGCATTTGTACTTTATTTTGCTGGTTTAGCATTAAAAATTTTTTACTTATCTACCTTCCGGGCCGGGCCGGGCCGAAAGTGTCGGCCCGGCCCGCGGGCCGATGCGGTCAGGCCGGCCCAGGGCTTTTTCAAATCTGCTCAGGCCCGGCCCGGCCCAATCACCGGGCCCGGCCGGGCCGGGCCGGGCCGGCCCAGCCCGATTGCCACCTCTAATCTAGAATAATTCTGCGCTCGGGCACAGCTTGGGAAAAATATTTTTTTTTTTTTTGAAATGCGCCCGAAATTATTTGTGAGAACGTAAATAATTTATTTATTCAAAACAATCATAATCTAAGGGACTGGAACTTTCTTGAAGATCATTTGAACAATAACAGCGACAATGGTAACCACAATAAGCAGAACGCCGGCAAACGAGACCAGAAATAGAGAGGCCGTGTCCCTGTTGATAAAAGTGAGGTCCTCATCGAGGGTCGCGTTGCTGTATGTGTGATATGCTTGTTTGGTTTTCTCCAATTGCTCCGCCCAATCTAAAAATAATCAAAACATAATTCTCCACTCTTTTTGATTATTTTTTTTGAAGAATTACCTTGGTTGGCCGAGAAATAATAAACTCCGACTGATGCCAGATCCGAGATTCCAGCCAATGCAGTCAGTATCCCGATGAGACCAAAAAGACCGGGGCAGCAACAGGCGAAGAAACTGAAGATCGACCACACAAGCGCGGCCAATTGGAGGGCCAAGGAGAGGGCCAGGATGAAAATACACAACTTGATGTAGTTTTCGGAGCTCTGAAAAAAAGAAAAATAAATTTTAAAGGGAAAAATCAATAAAAAACTGGGCGCAGCTCGGAAAAAAATTGAAAATTTGCGGCTTCAAATGAGAGAATTTCATTAATTTTTGTGCCATAAATTCTCAATGTCATCAAAAAGTTTCAAATCAAAAACCCCAAAAATTTTTGGACTCACCTCAAAAACGCTCTTACAGGCCTCATGAATCCCTTCAACTGACTCTTGATTCTCAACACGCTCTTGGGTCTGTTGAACTGTATCTTGAATACAATTTTTCCACAATCCTTTGGTCTGAATGGTCCCGTTTGCATCCGGCATTGCCTCCCATCTGGGCAAGTAGAACCCGGCCAGGGTCAATATCAGACTGGCCACCAGACCCACCACGAAGATCGCCTTCAGAATGGCCGCTTTGCACATTGCTCGAGGGAACTTGAAAAGCGAAGAAAAAATAGGTCGATAGGATCAACTTAAGGATAGAAACGACCGGTCGGAAGGAAGGTCGAACCAAAGAGACTGGGAAAATATTTCCATTTTTTAGATTTTTTCGAAAATAAAATTAATTTAAATTTAAAATTTTAGAGTACTTTCAGTCATGAAAAATTTTGTGTTAAAATCGTTTTTACAAACCCAAAATTCATCGAAATAAATATTCAAATTTTTCAAAATTTATTGAAAATAATTTTAAATCACAATGTACAAACATCAAGTGGCGTTTTCTATCCGCCACTTGAGACTTGGGCACCTGAAGTTTTGGCCTCCGGAGTTGTTTTTTGAGTAGTTTGGGTGTTGGGCGTAACGAAATAGTCGGAAGGGGTCAGTTTCTTCATCACTTTGCTCTTATGCTCATCCCATTTCTTGTGATCGGATTGCTAAAATGCGGCGGGATTAGAGAAAGTCGAGGAGTACCGGTTAGACAAAAAGGTCCTTTTTTCAATTCATCTTTGCGATCTTTGATAAAAAAAAATCAGGACGTGGTGAAACTTCCTTTTTCTGGCGCCAGCGAAAGATTTTGCAGCTTGCGCCCGAACAATTCCGGTCGCAAAGGATATCAGGCTTAGGCTTAGCCTCAGGCTTTGTTTAGCGCTTAGGCTGTGTCCTCTTTTTATTCGCAGTCTGCAGGGAAACCAAGGCGCAAGCTGCGAAGCGCGGGGCCAGAAAAAGGAAGTTTTTCCTAGGACGATTCTTACCGCTTTTCGATGCGAAACCAACGACACAACGGAGAAGATGGCTCCAATTATTCCGGCGAACAGGATCAGACCAACAAATATGCTGAAGACCTCCTTTACAAAAAAATATTATGCTTACACAACCAGAACGATGACGATGGTGCCAAAGTCTTCACTGTTTATATCATCATTCGCTGCCAAGACCAAGGGAAAGAGGAGTGGGAGATTGTTCCAAAGCACCATTCCGACCGGTCGAAGCCGCAAAATTTTGGAAGTGTGTGGGGATTCAAGTGAAAACGAATTTTAAAAATTAAAATTGAGTTTTTTTTTTTTTTTTTGAAAAGCTCAAAAATTCAAGCCTAAAATTTGGAAAGATGGTAACCGGTTGTCGGTGTTTTGTCCAATTCCTCGGCCTTGCTCTGACTTTGGCCGCGTTGGGTGGCGTTGGATTTGCCGTTGCAACGAAATGGTGGTACAGAGATGAGTTCGGTCTTCGTGTTGGGCTGTTCTCCGTCACTTGCGAAGACGGAATGATGTCGGCTCTTTTCTGTGTTCCGTTTAAATCGAGATATGTAAGTAGTCTTCGAAAAACTTCCAAAAAAATCTTTGCAAAAATTTGAATGAAATCATCAAGGTCGTTTTAAAAAATATTTTTTTTTTGAGCTGCGCCCGAAGTTGTTATTGCAGTTAGTGCAGTTTTTGTTCCTTCTGAGATCCCAGCTAGACCTTTAATATAAGATAACGAGTCTTTTATGATATACATTTTAATAATCAAATTGGTTTCAGGAAGACCACCCTTGGTCAAAGGTTTTAATCGCGGCCGAATGTGGGGCCCTTCTCTGTGGCCTGGTTGCCTTGATCTGGGGCATTGTCACTTCCACTTGCACCAGTCCGCAAAGTTTCCCCGGCACCGGAGGCTTCAATCTTCTCGCTGGGTTGTTGTCGATCGGAGGATGCGCGTACTTTGCCTACGTTTTTCAAAACTCCTTCGGCGGTAAGTGCATTTTTTTCAGGAGGTTTTTTGCATTTGGTTTGATAAAAGTTTCTTTTTTCAGACATCATCAAATCCGCTGAGGCTCATGCGCAAGGCGAGAAACAAGGGGAAGGCCTCGGAATCAGCTTCATGATCGCTTGCGCCGGTGGAGTCGTCTTTCTCATTGCTGCAGTCATCGACTTCGTCGCTGCTTGCGTTAAAGTGGAGTGATTTGGACCTGAAATTTTGATGAGCTTTTTGATTGAATAAACTGATTTGTTTCATTTTTTTTTTGATTTTTAAGGTGTGATTCTTACAAGTAATGAGTCGATATCAACTCAAGTCTTTAGGTCAACACTAGATGCCATATCCTGCAGAAGAGGAGGGAAGATACCGTATTTTACAAGCAAACTGGAATTTTTATTCAACTCGAACTAATACTGGCTGTTAAACTCGCTGATATGTTCCGTGGCTTCGTCTTCATATTTATTGGCGTCGAATCCGATGGACTGAAGCAGGCCCAGGATCTCGTCGGCAAAGGCTCTTTGGTTCACTTGCATCTCGGCCAACTCTAGCTTCTCCACAACCAGTTGGGCAGTGATTTTATGCTGAAAAAAAAATAAAAATTTATGTGATACGATCTAGTGTAACATCAGCAAAAAAAATGTCAAAATTATGGGATATACCTTTAGTTGGAACTCCCATATAGTCAGCCAAGCCACCGTCATGTTTACTGTCCCCAGGATTATTCCTAGGAAGGATAGGAGGATCAAAATGGCTTGCCCAAGTCTTCCGTCATGGCTAATATACTCCGGAATAGTTGTGGTGGACTCTGTAGTGACTGTTGTGGCCTCGGAAGTGGTGACATTAGGTCCAGCGTACTCTGTGGTTCCTATCGAAGTGCGGTGGGATACTGTAGAAGCTCCGGTTGGCTGAGTAATTCCCGTGGAGGCATCCGTTGGCCTTGTCGTAGGCCCAGTTGGCTGAATATGTGTAGTGGGGCGAATATGGGGTGTTGTCGGATTCTCTGATGCCGTAGAAGACTTCGTAGAGCTCGTGTAAGGCAGAGTTTGCCCAGTAGTAGCCTCCGTAACTCCAGTAGACACCTTTGTTGACTGTAATGTAACAGTGGTTGGAATTACTGTAGAAACCACCGGGCCAGCTGTGGAATTTGGAGCATACGTTTGAGGCGAAACTACTGGGTCTGCCGTGGATTTCGGAGCATCCGTTTGAGGCCCAGTAGAAGAGACAGGAGCACGAGAAGTAACAGTTGTCGGAGCTATAGGGGGAGGAGTTCCCGTGGTCTTGGGGCTGCTTGTGAGAGCATTTTGGCTTGCTGATGGAAGTACCTGGATCAGAAGCAGTGAGAAAGCCAAATGTTTGGAGAAATCAACCAATCTCATGGTGGTAGAAAGGCGGAAGTGAAACAATTTCGACGAAAATCGGCGAAAAAATTAGGATTCCTATGGCTTTTAGAGGTTCTGCTGCCAAGAGAATACGTAGTAATTGGACACAAAAACTATTTATTAGCTATGAAAATGACTATGAGAACCGGGAGTTATGAAAAAAATTGGATATAAATGTCAGATTGTCATAAGATGAAGTTCTTTTACGAAACGTTGCATGTATGGGTGCTCAGGGATTTCTGAAATCATGGTATTATCATATTACAGCATCAAATTGCCGAATATTAAAATTGTGGGCAAAGAATTAAGGGAATTCATCTAGTATAATATAAAAATTTCACTTACGTTGACTAAATAATCGGTTTTCCGCTTCACAGACTAGTCTGGAAACAAGCTGCTTCAATAGCTCGGGGGTATCTTCGCGATAGTGTCGATATTCAATCTGAAATTTTAACATTAGATACTCGACCTAGTGTAGTATAACTCCGACCCATTGCAAAGTACACCATTGAAAAAAAATATTTCTTAAAATGACAGAAACCGTATTTTACCTATAACCTTGTTCAGAGTTACATTTACTTTTCACTTACATGTAAATTCTCGACTCTCCAATAATTTGTGTGGGTGACACCTTCAAACGGGGGCCGAAGCTCAATCATCTCGTAGAGGACAATACCAAGAGACCAGCAGTCGAATGCCGTAGTTATTTCACCTGAAATCTTCAATTGTTAGCTTATTTTTGATTATAAATCTTATAAAAAAGAAAAAATTTTTAATATTTGGCCTAATTTTGAAAAACCACATACCGACGAGGCCCACTTTTACGTATTTTACAAATCACACCAATTTAATTTTATTTGATTTCATTTTCTCATCAAAAATTCAAGTATAAAATAGCCTACCACAGAACCCATCCGGAGCCATGTATGCTGGCGTTCCTATCAACAGCTTCTTGGCTTTGGAATCCTCTTGTCGGCAACAGGTCCCAAAATCTCCTAGCTTGACAAAACGTTGATCCCGATCCATAAAAAGAATGTTTTGGGGTTTGATGTCTCGATGAATAAACCCCTTGGAATGGATGTACGAAACAGCCGAGACTATCTGAAATTGAAACAATAGGTTGTTAGCAATATGTGCATCAAAGAGCACTTTTAAAACAAATTCGGATAGTTATATGAACTATCAAGTATACTCTCAGCTCTTTTACAACATCTTAGCCAAAAATAAAACACAAAATCCCCTCAGGCTAACAACAACTTGCTTTCGAGTTACCGCAAAGACACTTTTATCCAATAGAAGTACCCTTGCCTGTATAAAAATCATCGATAAGCGATCAAAATCCATATAAACCTTCTCCATCTCTCCATTTATTTCTTCCCTTGATTTCATCTTCAAACTCTTGTGCAAAGCTGATCGATCTTTCAGCTCCGATCCCAAACTCCCTCCCCATGCCAATTCAAGCACCATGACCATATATTTCGCCTCATCTATGACGCAATTCAACCGTATAATAAACGGATGGTGAAGTTGTTGGAGAAGTTTGTGCTCGTCTGGAAAGAAGAAACAAAAGTATTTAAACATCCAGAATTACAAAAGAAGTAATCTGAACATGGGATTTACATAATCGATTCAGAAATTTGTGGATTTCGTGTTTACTAACAAAATTACAAAATTTGTTACCTAAAACAATGTAATTTTGGCGGAAAATGTTGATAACCAAAAAAATAAAGTCTCAACAGACTTAGAATAGCAGCACGGGCTCTTGGCGCAGCTTGCAATACCTAAAACACAAGCAAACTGTCCAGATTTTTCCTTTTCCGTCTAAAAGCCAAAGAAAACCATCCAAAGAACTTACTTTTGCAATTTGTCTCCAACCTCTTCCCTTTTTCCATCAACTTCAATGCTATCATTCTCTTTGTGTTGTAGTCGAAGGCTCTGTAGACTGTGCCGAAGTTCCCGGAGCCCAGAACGTCCTTCTCTTCGTCAAAGTCGAATCGCTTTTTAAGCAGCCCAAATTGAGGGATCATTGTGTGTGTGTAAAATACGAAATAAAGACAGTGGAACCTATTACAACATAACAAAATATTGGAGAAGGCAAAGCCTTTCCGGAAAGTTTTCCAATACGCCACAGTTGACTCAAGTTTTCCACATCGAGTCAAGTTTTCCTCTCACCGTACTTTACCTTTTTTCTCCGAAAAGTTTTCTTCAAAGGATGTTCTATGTGGTAGAATTACTCAATTAATATTTACATTTAAAATTATTTCTTTTTTCCTTACACAAATCCTGATATTATATATAGTAGATCAGATTTAATCAAATTTCGGTCATTTTGAGAACCAACCCAAGATTGTTAAAAGTAGCAAATCCCTCCAAAAATTTTTTAACTTCGGGTTAAGAATTCATTTTTTATCTTACTTTATAAAGTATACATAAATTCAAAATTTTGTTATGATTTCCATTTCTTCCCTTGGAAAAGTCCCCGTTTATTTCTTGAATGTTTTCCGCGCTCTCTCGTTTTTTCTCTCACTCTCTGCCCGGTTTTCTCTTCGAAGAGCCCGCTGTTTTCTCTCATTTGCGCGCCCTTTGTCGCCTCTCCCTTTTTTCTCCCCAGTTTACCCTCAAGAAAGACTTTATTGCCACTTTCGTTTTGATTTCTATTCGTTGACGCGATGAAGGTCACATCTTTCGGGACCGAACGTTTTGTGTGGACAAACTTACTTTTGCTGAGCGTCGATTTATAACAAAATAAAGTGTTGAATGATGGGGCTACAGTTTATTTATGGCAGATTGCGAAAAAGTTTTACCCTTTGGCTAAAAATCACTGCTCTGGCAAAAAACTTGTCAATAAAACTTTTTTAAAATGCGTGTTTTGGCTGAATCTTTTTTGTAGCTCTAATTTTTCCTAAAAAATTTAAGATCAAATAGTTGTATATTTATTTTTCACTTAAATAAAATAGCTAGAAATGAGGGAGACTGATAAAATTATAGACATAGAAAAACCTCAGTTACAATATACATAGGAAATTTCATGGCAAGGAGTCTATTTGCATATACGGACTGGGAATTATAGATAAAATTTTAATGAAATAGATGATTTTTATCCAAGATTAAATTATATAAGCTACTATAAAAACATTAAAATAGGGTTACTGCTCTATAAGAACTACAACTGAAAGACCCGTTATAACCGGTTCTCTTTTTTACAAATTGAAAATTATGTCGATGTGCGAAAGAGACCATTTCAAATATTACTCTAGGTTGGAAGAATTACTCGCAGTACTATATTGTACTAGGAGTATTTCATCAAAATTAGAGGGCTTTCAAGTCCGTTGAGGGGTTTGGACGGTGGGGGGTGACGAGAATTGGGAACTGCTCAATAGCATTGGGGAATTGGGATTGCCGGAGGTCCTGAAACGAAAAATTAGGGAGTAAAATGCAACGAGTTATAGTAGTAACAATTTTTTGAGAAGAAAATGCTGACGAAGGGGAAAAGCAAAAAAATTGGCAAATTTTACGGCTAGGTCAATTACAATAATTTTCAGAAAAGGTAAAATAAACCTTAACCATGTTTTTGAAAGCTAATGTTTATCAGCTTTGTTACTTACAGTCCGTTTCCGTTGGTCTTGTAGGGACTGCGTCCACCTTCGGCCATGTTCAGCTCCTCCTTCAACTTCAAGGTCTGCTTTCTTCGGCTCTTGTTTACCTAAAATCGGTAAACATCGATTTTGAATAGTTGTTCGATTTGAATATCAAGGCAAAGTGTCTAACTTACTCCAAAGATGATGACAGCAAAGATGATGAAGATCAAAATCAAGATGCCGATGATGACCGAAGCCGCCACCACATATCCAGCCTGTCCCGAGGCCGCACTCTCCTTCATACTAGCCGATCCTTTGCTCATAACTCCATCGATGGAGACCGCTGTTACATCGACGTCATTTCCTCCGATCTTGGCTTGTCGTTGCACAATAACATCCTCCAATCGAGCTGCCACCAAAGCCGGATCGCCGATCTCGTCGCGCGTCACCAGCTTTCCTTCGATTATCACCGAGCCCTTGCGGATGTTCGTGATGTCATAGCTGAGGAAATTGTCGCCGAAAGTGTCGGAGAAGGTGTTTGTGAGCTGAAATATGGGTGGATAAGAGGTTTCGGGATTTTTTGAAGATTTTTAGAGAGGGAACTAACTTACATCTTCGTTTATTTGATCCTTCAGTTTCTTGAAAACACCAGAAGTCTTGTCCTCGAATTCGGGAGAGAAGTCAATGTTGGTGAATCGAAGGCTGAATGGAGTCTTGACGCCGTTAGAACCTAAAATTATATACGATTATCGGAAAACCTTCAAAAAATTCAAAAATTGTCTGATGAGGAGCTTACTTGGATGATCATGATGATGATTATGATCGTGGGTTGGTTCTGGCTCGGGTTCTGGAGTTGGCTCGGCCACTGGTTCGGGCTCCGGACTTGGCTCGGCTTTGGGTTCAGGACTGGGTTCCGCCTTTGGTCCTGGCTCTGGTTCTGGGGTTGGCTCGGCCTTTGGCTCTTCCGGACTGGGTTCTGGAGATGGTTCAGCTTTTGGTTCAGGACTGGGTTCGGCTTTTGGCTCTGGTTCAGGGCTGGGCTCAGCTTTTGGCTCTGGTTCAGGGCTAGGCTCGGCTTTTGGCTCCTCAGGACTTGGCTCAGGCTTGGGTTCGGGAGTTGGCTCAGCGGCTGGTTCTGGGCTGGGCTCCGCTTTTGGCTGTGACTCAGGTGCAGGGCTTGGCTCGGCCTTTGGTTCTTCTGCGCTAGGCTCGGGTTTGGGTTCGGCAGTCGGCTCTGGAGCCGGTTCTGGTGTTGGCTCAGCAGCGGGTTCTGGACTGGGCTCGGGTTTAGCTTCTGGTTCTGGACTGGGCTCTGGCTTAGCTTCGGGCTCTGGAGTGGGCTCGGCTTTGGCCTCAGGTTCTGGACTGGGCTCTGGCTGGGCTTTGGGTTCTGGAGACGGCTCTGGCTTGGCTTCGTCTTCTCTCTCCTCTTTCTCCAATTCAGCAGCAGCAGGATTCTTCCTTTCTTCAGGAATTGGCTCGGGCGTTGGCTCTTGCTCAACAGGCATGAACACAGTCTTATCTCCTGCGATAAGGCTCTCTTCATCTGTGGTTGTAGCTACGGTAGCCTCTGTGGACGTTTCAGGGATCTTAGCCTTTCCTTCAGCAGTTTCTTCAGCCTTTGGTGTTTGGGCGTCGGTGTTCGCATTATCAGAAGGAGTAGCAGAATCATGGGACGGGAATACAATAGGCTCAACAGAGCCTGGAATTCCTTGTGGAGAGCTGGATTCGGGCTTTGGTGTGGCTTCAGGAGTGGCTGGAGTTTCTTCTGGTTTAGCCTCTGACTTCTCGGATTGCTCTTCGGCAGCTTTGTCTGGGGTTTGTTCAGACAAAGCATGATCTGAAGAGGTCTGGGCTGGCTTTTCTGTTTGTTCTTCTACTTTTTCTTCCGACACCACTGGGACCACGAATGCGGTGGTGGTCTCGGGATTTTTTGGAGAGACCGATGGCGCGGATTCTTCCTTTGGAGCCTCTGGCTCTAATGGTGTTGGCTCTTCGGCTTCTGCTTTTTCCTCGTGCTTCGGCTCTTCTACTTTGACCTCTGCTTTTGGTTCTTCAGATTCCTCTTTTGGCTTTTCTTCAGCGACATCTGCCTTATGCTCTTCTGGAGTTTCAACATTAGCGGCAGATGATGGAGCATCAGTGGGTGATGCTGGAGAAGAAGACTCGTCTTCTTTCACAGGCTCATCGGCTTTGAATTCTGGCTGCTCAACTTTAGGTTCGGATTTCTGTTCTTCCTTAACCTCTTCTTTTGCATCAGGTACTTTCTCACTTTCCTGCTTCTCAGAAACTTGGCTCTCGTCAACAACTGGGATAGCCAAGGTTGTGCTGGCTTCAATGGTCCTCAAGAAAGGGTCTTCGTTTGACGATTTCTTCTCATTCTCTTCATCGTCGTGTTGTCTGATCATGTCCACGGGAAGTTCCCCAACAGGCTCTTGTCTCACATGACTGTCAGATTCTTCTGGCTGGTGTTCTGGAGCATCTGCTGGTTTTTCAGAGGGATTGTGGCCGGCAGGCGAGTCTGAACTGACAGGGGTGTCTAAGGGGGCTACGGGGGATCCATCGGGCTCAAATTGAGCTTGTGTTAATTCAGGCGATGGTGGGAGTTCTTGCTCTTGACTTACGGTCCTAAAAAAGGTGATAAGTTGGTTTAAAACGTTTTATTGACAAATACAGCTATCTTAAAATACTGTAAGATGCCACCGATCTCTTACACAACTTACTCATCAATTTTGGGGACCTCCTCGAATTGTTGCGCAGTTGCCAGGCCGGCAACGGCCAAGGCTACGATTAGTAGGAGCCGCATGTTTGAAGGGCTTGGACCCTTTCGTTCCAAATCTGAAAATATGACCTTAGGGTGGGGTTTCTAATTTGGCTAATTGAACAACTTTCGGAAAACGGATTTCCACGCGCTTATACGAATGAGACTTCGGCTTATTAACATATACGGAGGATAATGACATCGGGAATCACGCAATCTTTTGAAGAGTGGAATTTCGGCTAATGGGCTTTTAGGATGGCGTAAATGGAAGGTTAAGTGGTGAGGGTAAATTAGAGAAAATATTAGATACTCTTAGATTTTGCTGGCGCTAGGAAGAAACGGCGAGGAGATATGATGATAAAACGATGAAAATCTTGAAAAAATATTTTTTTATTTACTTTTGGACCGAACGTCCCGCTTTTAAAAGTTTAAAAATACCATACTTTATCCCCTAAAAACACATAAGACTAATCAAAACCCTTGGATGACAGTCTCAACACGTCCCGAATTATGAAAAAATGGAGTGCGTGCTCTGTTTTTACACTCCTGGGAAGTATTACTGCGACACAGGAAATACATATTACTGCGAATTGAGAAATCTTTGTCAACAAGACCTCGTTAGAGTGCATGACATGATTCGATCTGATAATTTGACGAAGCGACATGAAACAGTTCTAGTGGAGTCTTT